CAAACAACATCCATGGGAGTACTCCAGTCAAACAAGACTCATGGGAGTACTCCAGCCAAACAACACCCATGGGAGTACTCCAGTCAAACAACACCCATGGGAGTACTCCAGTCAAACAACATCCATGGGAGTACTCCAGTCAAACAACATCGATGGGAGTACTCCAGTCAAACAAGACTCATGGGAGTACTCCAGTCAAACAACATCCATGGGAGTACTCCAGCCAAACAACATCCATGGGAGTACTCCAGTGAAACAACACCCATGGGAGTACTCCAGTCAAACAACATCCAAGGGAGCACTCTAGTCAAACAACATCCATGGGAGTACTCCAGTCAAACAACACCCATGGGAGTACTCCAGTCAAACAACATCCATGGGAGTACTCCAGTCAAACAACATCCATGGGAGTACTCCAGCCAAACAACATCCATGGGAGTACCCCAGTCAAACAACACCCATGGGAGTACTCCAGTCAAACAACTCCCAAGGGAGCACTCTAGTCAAACAACATCCATGGGAGTACTCCAGCCAAACAACACCCATGGGATTACTCCAGTCAAACAACATCCATGGGTGTACTCCAGTCAAACAACATCCATGGGAGTACTCCAGTCAAACAACATCCATGGGAGTACCCCAGTCAAACAACACCCATGGGAGTACTCCAGTCAAACAACTCCCAAGGGAGCACTCTAGTCAAACAACATCCATGGGAGTACTCCAGCCAAACAACACCCATGGGAGTACTCCAGTCAAACAACATCCATGGGAGTACTCCACTCAAACAACATCCATGGGAGTACTCCACTCAAACAACATCCATGGGAGTACTCCACTCAAACAACATCCATGGGAGTACTCCAGCCAAACAACGCCCATTGGAGTACTCCACTCAAACAACACCCACTGGGGTACTCGAGTCAAACAACACCCATGGGAGTACTCCACTCAAACGACACCCATTGGAGTACTCCAGTCAAACAACACCCGCGGGGGTACTCCAGCCAAACAACATCCATAGGGGTACTCCAGCCAAACAACATCCATGGGAGTAATCCACTCAAACAACATCCATAGGGGTACTCCAGCCAAACAACATCCATGGGGGTACTCCAGTCAAACAACATCCATGGGAGTACTCCACTCAAACAACACCCATGGGAGTACTCCAGTCAAACAACATCCATGGGAGTACTCCAGTCAAACAACACCCATGGGAGTACTTCCAGTCAAACAACACCCATGGGAGTACTCCTAGTCAAACAACACCCATGGGAGTACTCCAGTCAAACAAGACTCATGGGAGTACTCCAGTCAAACAACACCCATGGGAGTACTCCAGTCAAACAACACCCATGGGGATTACTCCCAGTCAAACAACACCCATGGGTACTCCAGGTACTCCAGTCAAACAACACCCATGGGGAGTACTCCAGTCAAACAACACTCCATGGGAGTACTCCAGTCAAACAACACCCATGGGAGTACTCCAGTCAAACAACATCCATGGGAGTACTCCAGTCAAACAACATCCATGGGAGTACTCCAGTCAAACAACACCCATGGGAGTACAGTCAAACAACATCCATGGGAGTACTCCAGTCAAACAACACCCATGGGAGTACTCCAGTCAAACAACACCCATGGGGTACTCCAGTACTCCAGTCAAACAACACCCATGGGAGTACTCCAGTCAAACAACATCCATGGGAGTACTCCAGTCAAACAACACCCATGGGAGTACTCCAGTCAAACAACACCCATGGGAGTAGTCAAACAACATCCAGTCAAACAACACCCATGGGAGTACTCCAGTCAAACAACACCCATGGGAGTACTCCAGTCAAACAACATCCAGTACTCCAGTCAAACAACATCCATGGGAGTACTCCAGTCAAACAACATCCATGCGGAGTACTCCAGTCAAACAACACCCATGGGAGTACTCCAGTCAAACAACACTCCATGGGAGTACTCCAGTCAAACAACATCCATGGGAGTACTCCAGTCAAACAACATCCATGTGAGTACTCCAGTCAAACAACATCCATGGGGAGTACTCCAGTCAAACAACATCCATGGGAGTACTCAAACAACATCCAGGGGTACTCCAGTCAAACAACATCCATGGGAGTACTCCAGTCAAACAACATCCATGGGAGTACTCCAGTCAAACAAGATCCATGGGTACTCCAGTAAAGATATCCAGTGCCATAATACAAGGTACTCCCCCATTGGGGTACTCCAGTCAAACAACATCCAGGGGTACTCCAAGGAGGGACTCATGCCGAGTGCTCAGTCAAACAACATGGCATGGAGGTCACTCCAGCCAACCACTCACAAACAACATCCATGGGGTAGGAGAGCCAAACAGCATCCATAAGATATCAGTAATCCACTCAAACAACATCCATGGGGGTACTCCAGTCAAACAACATCCATGGGAGTACTCCACTCAAACAACACCCATGGGAATAGGTTACAGACTTTGACTTCTGTGTATGTATAGCGTCACTGTTATATGGCCACACACACGCACACACACACCCCACACACACCCCACCCTTCCTTTAACTTGTCGACACAGACACTACTTCATTCCTCCAACCACGGCGTGTTGCCCGACTGAGCAGATGACAGCGACCTTTCACCGAGTCCACCAGTAAGTTCAAGAGATCGGGTGTGCATATACATTAACAAATTAAAGGGCGACGGTTTACAGGAGAATAATGAGATATCTTTTTGCGCGTCCGTTTATTGTGATGTCGGGGAATATATGAGACAGGCAACCTCGCTCATTCATTTCCCACAAACAGGTAAATGATGTTGCATATACTTTGCGGAAAGTTCCTAAAGCTGCGTAAAATCTTACTCTGCCTCGTTTCGAAATATGAACCGATGTAATTAATAAAAGCGGATATGACTCAGAATTCAGTCTGGTGGTCGAGTCCGTATGGTGACCTCCATTTTGTTAGAAGAACATTATTTTATTTGGATGTCACGTGCACTGTATATACAGACCATGAAGAGATAGTTGGCGTACATTACACATGCACCAGCCTAAAGGCCTGTGAGACATGAAAAGATTACGTAAAACAGTTAAAAGGATAAATTTACACACCACAGACATAAAAACAAAACTAAAATCGCATACATAAAACATCGCAATGCCCACATTCAGTAAACTGGTATTACAGAAAAGAAAGTTTTTCTTTCCGGCGCTTAAAGATTAGTGAGTGAGTGAGGTTAGTGTTACGCCGCACTCAGCAATATTCCAGCTATATGGTGGCGGTCTGTATTTAAACATTAGTGATAGCAGGGGTTAACAAACTTCTCATTCCGCACGAGGAATATAGTCTGGTCAGTAGGGGACATATGAACAAATAATGTTAGACATATAAGCCATGTGTCACACAACTTGAAACAACACTTGTCATGGATGACTGCATTTCTAACACATGGGATTGTTTTCATATGTGTCCGTATTTGCAAGAGAAATATGGCCTAATATAAATTTGCAAGGCGTAACTACTCCGAAACCTGTAAACTTTAAATGTGAATATTATTGTACGCCGCTTTTACCAATATTCCGGCAATATGACTTGGAGAAACACTGCATGCATGTTGATAGTCGAACCCAGGCCTTCACACTGACAAGTCAACGCTTAGACCACGAGGCAACCCCAAAGCCCCATAAGAGTTAATACAGGCTGTAACCCTCTGAGTGTTAAATCTGACTACGTAACAACAAGAATACTCACCTACTAAACAAACCACCCAACTTTACATATAACGCTACCAATGTCAATGAGTGTCATTGTAACACTGTTGTCTAATAGTCTCGACTGTGTGGCACAGAAACACATGTCAGAGTTAGAGATAGTGTCTACCGGGAAATCCGAAATATACGTTTTAGCCTTCCCGGGACATCTGAAAATTAAATTTAGCCTTCCCGGCACGACACCTCAAAAGCTGGCACTGTGGATGTAGATGCACCACTCATAGGCGCCTGACTCTGATATATTTATAAGTATGACCTATATATATATATCTTACAAATATATCAGTCAGGCGCCTATGGCACCACTCAAGACAGATGCATGCCCTCCCCACTCGCTACCACCCCACCCCCACCCGACATCCCTAATACACCTGTGTCACCGTAGTTAATTATATTAACAACTTAATTACTTTAATTATACTGACTTCTTAATTTGCTTGGGATCCATTCGGCATGCTCTTAGCTAAGATTAAGATAAAAGGAAATTAAATGTGTTTATATATGTCTGTGTCTAGTCTTTTGTTTCACTTTTTAGAATTATAATCCGCTCACGGTCGAGACTATTAGAGGGGTAACCCTGACTTTGCCTGAAGGAAATTAAACCACGAAAAGTATATGCTATTTATTTAATGAATTTATGGCAGGAGAGGTTTGAAGCAGTACCAATTTAAGAAACTTAACATCTGCATGACGTATTTATACGGAATCAGAAAGTGAAACTAAAATAAAGAATTTCTCTGCTTAAAGGCATATCAGGGATAATCTACAGCGTCTTCTTTTCTCCCTGGGCGTATAAAGTAAGCTGTTGTAGATTAATTAAATTACTGATATGTCTATCTTTGACTTAATATAGCATGTCTCGAAATGAAAAATAATATCGGTGGTTATTCTCTATTTAAAAATTCTGTTTTATTTAATCGTGAAGAATTAAATGTGGATCTAAGTTTTACTTCCGGTATGTAATAATGTATAGAAACCATAGGATTAGGATCGTGTATCTGGCAAAATGCCTGCTTATCAAGAGAGCAGCACTTGTTGCCCATTGTCTATAATCAAGTCATAGAAACTTAATGCTCCCCTGAACACACAAATTGATGACGTAGTACGCATACGGGATATCCTTCTCGCCCACTAAGAAGGTAGTTCCGTTGACACCCTCCCGAGCAGGTGAGAACTTTCGCCATTATCACTGAAATACCTTCAAGTACATTTGTTTTCCTTCCCCAAATGATTCTTAGGTAGCGACATCCTAGCTTGGTTGACAATCCATGTTGTTTCCGTGCAGCGTCGAGCTGACCCTGCAAGTGCTACGTCAACAGGTTGTCGGGGGTTTTGGTTACTCCCCCTCCTCATTTTCCCACGGACTATAAAATTTTCCCGTGACGTTGCTCGTCCATATGTGAAACCAAAGCAAGACAGTTTCTTCTGAAACAACAACAGGCTAACGTGTTTTCATACAGGTTAGTCATTTTTTGTGCGCACATATTGGCAAAATTTGTCGCCAATGTGAAATTTTCATGCATTTTGATAATCGGATCAGTGAAGTGAAAAGGGTTATTTTTAGCACAAGATTTTACGATAACATAGTATGAGAACTAACAGTTTGTTTTCTTGCATGCTGAACCCTACTTCTTTGTGGTTCATATCTAGGATTGTGTGGTTCTTTGATAGCTGACTTTCCTCAGTGAACAGCTAGGGGCAACCTGTTGAATGTCCTGGGTGGAGTCCCATATTGATGTTAGTAATTAATATTTTATGTGTGATCTGCCCATGTTCGTATTGATTTCTAGTTATAAGTATTTGGCCACAGCCCATTAGGATGTATGTATGGATGTCCATATAGATCAAGCAAGATTACTTATGATTGAGCAACGAGTAATCAACAGTAATGAGAATACAAGAGGACTTAGCAATTAATGCTAATGTTACGTAATATTATTCTGGTGACTGTTGTAGTCCGAGTTCACTATACAATATTTGCATGAACAATATTTGTTGCAAAGAATGACATTTTTGATAACTTCTGTGATGAATTTGTCATTTTTTTAAAGTATCAATATCATTACACTACAGCACTCAGTTACGAGTCTCTTCAACTCTGTTATTCATCATATTGGTATCAACAAAAAAATCAGTTTTAAAAATACAAGGTATGACCACCAAGAATTATTATGTCCAAGCATTTTTGAATTTATAGCAAAAAATGTGACATTTTCTCTTTAATCGCTTGTCATGTTTGTGACCCTCAGTGTCTAATGTAGGAAACATTTTCTGATTAATATTCCTCAGTAATCAGTCATGGGATAATACTGGTAATTTATATTATTTATTTGAACATGATTCAAAGTGGGGATGCTGGGTTAGCTTCAACTGAAGTGAAAGCATTTGCTAGCTACGTCTACAATGTATGAATCCCATTCTTGTGCTTCCTGCCATGATTGTACTGGAATTTTACTCAAAGTGGCATCATACCCTACTCTCTCATTTGCATGAATATCAGTCATTTTCCTACACCAACTATGACGAAGAAAATATGTAAAAGAAAAAAATATGTAAAACAAAGTCATCATTAGATAACTGACCTGGTTTATCAGTATGTCAATGTCAGGCAGTGGATGAAATTGTTTATTTGCTGATCTGATAGTGAAGGGAAATATTTCCTCCTGTCCCGAGTTTTGTTATGTGTTATGTTGTCTTCATCTGTGATGGTTTATTGAGTAATGATCTGTCATTAGGAAATAAACTGTCCAGTTTCATCACTGATAAGAAATGTTTGTATGAAAATATTGTTTTAATCACTGATGGTATCGCTTGTGTGTGTGTGACCCGTGAAGGTCCGAGTTAGAATGAATCTTCAGCAACCCATGCTTGTCGTAAGAGGCGACTAACGGGATCGGGTGGTCAGGCACGCTGACTTGGTTGACACATGTCATCGGTTCACAGTTGCGCTGATCAATGCTTATGCTGTTGATCAGTGGATTGTCTGGTCAAGACTCGATTATTTACAGACCGCCGCCATATAGCTGGAATATTGCTGTGTGCGGCATAAAACTAAACTCACTCACTCACTTGTGTGTGTGTGTGTGACATTACATTATTGTAAATTCACACAGATTGTGAATTCACAGTGCTCACATGAAATAGCCCTGATCATATTGAGTGGAAGTCTGTTTTTGTTGCTTTAGTTCCCAGAAAACATACCCTGTGTATTAATTCATAGTTACTGTACACTGTTTGTTTGATTGGTGCTTATATTGGTGCAATATTCTAGTTATATGAGAGGTGTGTAAGTATTCTTGTTTGGGCCAGACAATCCAGTGATTAACAACATGAGCATCAATCTACTCAATTGGGACTGAGTGTCATGTATCAGCTGTGTCAGCGAGCTATCCGAGCCTGTAAGTCAACTCTTACATCAACCATGGTTTGTTGAAGACAGGTTCTAACCCAGATCTTCATGGTTGAAGTTTGCAATACAATGTAACATGTTTTCAGTATCTGTTTGCAGTCATGTGATTGTGGCAGTTTTTTGTCCTGTGTGTTGCTCAGTGTAACAATGGAAAGACATAACACTTCCTGTATCTAATTATGGCTATTGTAGGTTAAAGTGATAACACTAAAGTCATGCCACATCATTGTTGTGGGGATAACTAATGTTCTTTTAGTAAATGTGTCTTCAACAAAATTCAAAATGAAATCCAAAAAATTGTCCAGTTTATTGGTGATGTTCAGTTCAACATCAGTTCAGGAAGTCCTTTTTCTTTTCAAAACAAAAATTATAAAACTTGATCAAATTGACCAAAGTAATATATGCATTTTCCAAATCTACACTGTTTACTTCATACTGTTCAATAAATCAGATTCCTCACAATATCAACTTCCTTAGCACCTGATTTGTCCTCCCCCATCAATACATTATAGTCCTTTTTCTGTTTTAGTTAGTTGGCTTCCACAGGAAAATATTTACGTTCACAACGGTTAGTACATCTGTGTATGAATAAGTCATTTTAAGACAAATGTTTATCATAATTAAATGAAACTTTGGAAGAATGATACTCGTGTATTGTTTATGAACTTGTGCATATGTAGAATTGATTCCTTAAAAAGGAAGAATTATTGTAATTTGTACCATGTTTACAGGCAATTACTTTTTGTACACAGAAACTATTTTCCTGTGCTCAAGCTGTAACTTTGTTTTTCATCTTGAAGAAGGGTCTACTTCAAGTTGTCAAGTTGTCATATTTAGAATGTTCAAAACATGTATTTCATTTCCCTGTTCTGGCAAGTGCTGACACAGGTTCACATAATTTTAGAAAATCCCTTGTTTCTGAAGGTATTCAGGAAAATGTGAAACTAAATATCTGTTAGAAATACCAGGTACTGTCATTCAGTTGATATTTCTCTAACTGGTGATTGAGATATTCTCTGTTCAGAATGTCATGTCTACGTAGTTGTTTTGTCATTAAAAATAATCATGTAATGTTGAAAAGGTTGTATTCGTCAAGTAGAGATGAAGATATTGACCGTGCCAGCCCCTTGATCTCTACATGTGTATTTCCTAGAAGCCCCCCCCTAGTGGTAGGTGAATGTTGAACATGTGTAATCCCCAGAAGACCAGTCTCTACAATCAAGGAAGACAAGAACGCAACAGGGAAGTGAGCTGTTGCACTGAGCTCATCATATCACTTCCTCCATTCACAGAAATATCCTTCTCGGTCACAGCAGGCTGAAGAGATTTACTTGTTTCATGTTAAAAGGCGGGTTCAACATGAAAGCGTTTCCTGGACATGGCACCCTGTATGGTCCAAGGGCTCCCTTGCAGTTACGCAGCTGTGAAGGGTATCTGTAAATGGGGTAACCTTAGACTGAATCAAGTTAAAATCTATTTGGCCAAATGAGCTCAGCTAATAATTGTCCAAATAATAGCACTACTCTGTACTGAATGATGCCAAGTGTCAAGTTTGTACTGGTTGTCTCAAATGACTTTGGCAGACACTGGTAACAACATTTCCCCTCATAGTCTCAAATCATGAGTTGGTGGGGTAGCTTCATGGTGAAAGCTTTAGGTTGTATCTCCTAGGGTTTTTTCAGTTCCCCAGATGGTTAGAATTTTGAAGCCCCTTATGTCCAGAGCTGGAAAGAGCTAAAACCAGTGTAAAATCAGACTCGCTGCGATTAAGGGCTGATGGGCTCAAATGTGATGTATTGGTTCATTAAGTTCAGGTTTGAATCCCACACAGAGTGAACAGTCTGTGACTTAAGCCACAAACCTGAAGCCTGTGATCAATAATCTGATCTCAGAATTGCCCATAAGTTAATATTAGAAGCCATTACACTTGTGTGGAGCTGTAGACCACTGCTGTGGAGCATCTGCCTGAGCAGAAGGTCGGTGGTTTCATAGCAAAAGACATGAAAAAATGGTGCTCTACGTTACCTACGTTGTACCTAATACAAACATATGCATACATGCATGTAGCTGTCACAGTACAATAATCTTTGAATGCAATTTTGAAACCCAATTTGCCTCACCTCACCTGGTCTTGATTAGGGATGCTTGTTGTAAAAGTCAATTAATTCTAGATCAGGTCATCCTGCCCCAGTTATAAGAACTGTTGCTCAGTCGTCTGGCCCAGACAGTAACAGGCAGCCAGAACTTTGACCTTGGTTGTTTGGTTTGTTGTTTAACGCCCCACTCAGCAATGTTCCAGCTAAATGGTGGTGGTCTGTAAATAATCGAGTCTCGACCAGACAATTCAGTGATCAACATCAGGAGTATTGTTCTATGCAATTGGGATACGATGACATGTGTCAACCAACACAGCGAGCCTGACTACCGGATCCTGTTAGTCACCTCTTATGACAAGCATGGCCTACTGAAGACCAAGTGCAACCCGGATCTTCACGGGTCATTTTGTGGTTGTATTGTGTATCTGAACACATGTCCAGAGACTTCAGCTGGGGAGAAGTATCTATGATGATGACCTATGAAGATCGAGGTTAGATCCAGGTCTTCAGCAACCCATACTGTTTTAACAGGTGACTAACGACTTGGGTTGGCTGGCTTAATTGATGCAGGACATCGGAGATCAGTGTCCATGATGTCAGTCACTGGATTGCCTGGTCCAGACTTGATTTTTCAGACTGCAGTCATATAGCTAAAAGTAAAACATTGCTTTGTCCAGTGTTCACGAATGGTGTTTCAAAGTAACAGGACATTGGGTCCTGTAAGTTTCAGATGTCTGTCAGACCCATTGAAAATTCAGAGGACACATAGAATAAAAATTAAATACATATTACAGATATAACATTTCTTATAATTAGTATTGAAATAATTAACAAATGTAAAATTTATAATGAAAAAACAAGTGTGACATGTCACATATAACAACTTCATTCAAAGTCATTGTGAAATATACAGTTGGACACTGACACTGTCAGCAAATCTGCCGCATTTGTCCGA